ACCAGAGCAACTTGGATAAATTTCAAAAATGCTGCTTTGAGTAAAAGGTGGCAAGTGATTCATACCGTACTATTTATAAAAAGAATGAAAACATTAAAGCGATACTGTGTAGCTTATGGATACGTATATGTGTAAGAAGCAAAAGTATTAAAGCATTCATTGAAATGATAAACACCTTTTTCAGGACAGTAGTCTCTAGAAAGGGAGAGAAGGTAGTGGAATTGGAGAGGAGCACAAAGGGAGCATCAACTGTATCTGTTATGTTTTATTTCTTAAAAATAAAAAATCTAAAGGAAAATATCAAGGTATTTCACTCAAAACTCCTATATTATTATTAAGATTAACTAACTATATGCTTTTTCTAAAGTCCATTTTAGAGAACTGGACAGACAAAAAAATATAAGATTAAAAGTAGCATTTTGGATTGATTTGTTTCCCAGACTCCTTTCAAGTGCTGTTCTCTGGGTCAGAGAACTTTTTCATCCTCTTTTACCCTATTAGATATTATAGTCCTTTTCATGCATTTAGGGGGAAACCAAATGTTATCATCATTTACATTACAGACAAAAGAAGCTCTTGTTAATTACGGGAAGATTAAGATGAGGATGCTGGCTACCTAACAAAACAAAAACATCTTATTCAATGTTTCAGAGACATTAGTAAATGTTCTCTCATTTCAGTGGCATAACAGACCTGATCACATCAGGGTTAATGTCCTTTCAGTGACTAAATCAGGACTTTTCTATAACTTCAGCTCTCTTACTTGTGCTCACTACTACCAGTTTTCTTAAGAATATACACTCCTGGGGCGCCTGGGTGGCTCAGTCGTTAAGCGTCTGCCCCCGGCTCAGGTCATGATCCCGGGGTCCTGGGATCGAGCCCCGCATCGGGCTCCCTGCTCAGCAGGAAGATTGCTTCTCCCACCCTCCCTCCCCTGCTCGTGTTCCCTCTCTCACTGTGTCTCTCTCTGCCAAATAAATAAATAAAATCTTAAGAAAAAAAAGAATATACACTCCTTGCGGTGCCTGGGTGGCTCAGTCGGTTAAGCGCTTGCCTTCGGCTCAGGTCATGATCTTGGGGTCCTGGGATCGAGCCCCACAAAGAGCTCCAGCAGGGAATCTACTTCTCCCTCTCCCCCTATCCAATACCCCTGCTTGTTCTCTCTCTCGTGCTCTCTCTCCCTCTCTCTCTCTCCCAAATAAATAAATAAGATCTTTTTTTAAAAAAAAAAGAATATATACTCTTTCGATCTTTTATCTCCTTCACTCTTTTTTTTTTAAGATTTTATTTTTTTATTTGACAGAGAGAGAGTGAGAGAGGGAACACAAGCAGGGGGAGTGGGAGAGGGAGAAGCAGGCTTCCCGCTGAGCAGGGAGTCCGACCCCAGAACCCAGGGATCATGACCTGAGCCTAAGGCAGACGCTTAACGACTGAGCCACCCAGGTGCCCCTCCTTCACTCTTATACTGTTTTCTACTCAGTCAGAAATTATAAAAGCGGATCCCAAAACAATGGTCATCTCAGGATCAGATTCTGTGTGCCCCTAAGAGATGGTGCTAAATGACTAACTTCCAAATCCTCCTTACTCTTGCATTTAAGAATCAACCAGAAAACTTAAGAATTCTGAATTTCAAGCAATTTTGAGGAAACATTTAGACATTTTGTTTGATTGTTTTTGTATTGAGAGGGCTTTATAGGAAGAAAAATTGTCTGTGATATGGGTCCCCAGAGTCATACAACCTCCAGAGAGTTATCACATTAGCTTGCTGTCTCAAACTGGTATATACCCCTTTTCCACTGACACTAGAAATATTCTCCTGATTTTAGATCTTAGAGTTCTCTGTCCCCTCTGCTCATTCTCAGAATTGAGTTTGCATACCCTGGGCATTTAATAAATGCTTGTTCATGAGACCGGGAAGTTGACTGTGGTCCAAACGGATTATAGTGTTTCTAGTCCCAGCATTCGTAGATAATATCTCTTTTGTGTCTCTGTCCTTTGGAACAGAAGCTGACATCTCCCCAGGGTTCCAGCTGAATTCCTGCTGGGTATGCCCTTATTGGTCCTATGTCATCATTATCTGTAGGCAGAGTATAGGCATCTTTCTCAATGTAAAAAAAAATTTCCAGAAAACCACTATTTATAACATTCCAACTGTTTTTACTTTTACTTGTCCCTAACCTTGGGTCTCTCCATAATCACCAGCTGAAGTGTGTATGCTATGTACAGTCAGATCTTTCTATATGTATGGTCTCCATCATGGGCCATTCTGGGTTCTACTTTTGGTCGGCTACATTTTGTTGCCTCCTCCACACAGGAAAAGTGTTCATAATAAAACAAGCAAACATTTACCAGGCATTTGCTTTGTGCACTGTTCTAAGTACTTTACAAATATGATCTTTATCCTTTCATATGCACAATAATCTCAGGTACTGTTATCCCTGTTTTGCAGAGGAGGAAATGGAGGCCCAGGAAGATACTTTGTCTGTAAACCCTTTCCATGTAACTTCTTTTTTTTTTTTAATCTTTTTTTTATTATGTTAATCACCATACATTACATCATTAGTTTTTGATGTAGTATTCCATGTAACTTCTGTGAGGAGCAAAGATAGAATCTATGTCAAAGAGCTTTGTGATAAGTAAAGCTTAGTGTAAACATTTTACCAGGTTGCCTGCTTCAGACAGGGCTCAATGAGTGTTTTTTGAGTGAAAGAATAAATAAATGTGATTACTGAGTACATCGTGCTTTGTATAGGCTGAATCCCCAGAACAATGTAAGCACTGCATCTGTAAGTCAGTAGTCACCCCCACCAACATATTCCTGTTTCCTTCTTTTCTTCCCTTTTCCTCTAAATTTCAGAATCAAAATGATTGTCTGATTGAATATCTTTAAAAGGTCATGATGAATTATTCTGTAATATTTGAAATGTTATGCTCAGAAAGGTCAAGCCTTATTTTTTGGTAAGAAGTACCATATAGATTTGTTTTTCCTGGGCATCATTTCTTTTTTCAAAGAGAAGATGGCAAGAGATTTAGAGCAGGGTGCCCTCTTGAGGAAATTTTAGCACTTACCTCTCAAAAGCTGGCACTGGATGACATGAGAAAGCCAGATGAATGATGCCCAAATTGATAAAATATTAAAAAGTAAGAGTAACCGAATACCAGAGATCTGAGAATTAGAATTCTTAGCTCTTATGATCTAATATAGCAACATTAAGAATTTTTAAACCAAAAGAAAAACCTCTGGAAGATATTTTCTTTCCTCTCATTCACTCTGTCCTTCGAGGAAGCACCCATATTGTGCCAGGAGCTATGCCAAGGACAACGCTCAATAAAACACAGTCTCTGCCTTTGTGATGCTTACAGCTCGTGACAGAGATCCCAGGGAAGGGAAAGAAGCAAATATATATGTAACTACAAACCGAGCAAAGTACTGTGAAGGAAATGGGAAGGTACTAGAATAAAGCATAACAAAAAAAGTTCCATTAGGGTGGTCAAGGAAAGCCTCCCTGAGAGGAAATAATTGAGCTGAGTCACTGGGCTTTTTGGTCCATTGCAAGTCTGCCCATCTAATATAGACAGCCTAATGGATGCTTTTGTAGCCTCTGATTCTTCTCTGTGGCCCAACCCTTGAGCTGAGTTGAATCCTGTCTCTGCCCCTGTGGGTTAGCAGACAAGTCATCATCCTTCTGCACCTCATTGTCTCTCTAGCCGATCCTCTTTGCCTAAGACTCACATTTGTCACAATGTGGTGGTTGCTGCTTAACTAATAAATGTCTTTTTGCTAATACTAATAGCCACTCATGGTAGAATATCAATGCATTATAATGCTTAAAAAAAAAACACATTTCCAGCAAAGTTAAGGATGTAGAGGCTCTTAGAAGATGAAAAGGACAGATAACCCTGACTGCCATTCTGCTGTGAATAGGGAGAAATAAGTAGGCCTGAAGCAGGCACAGAACTTGATCCTGCCATACAGTTTGGTCTTGTCAAATTTCACGTATCCTGGTACCAAGCGAACTGAAGGCTCCAACCAGAATCGGAAACATGGGACTGGGCTTCAGGAAGGAGCTCCAAAGAACTAGTTTTTGAAGGTTTTGTTTTGTTTCAAAGCTCCCATATTACACACACGTACGGTTGACCTGGATCCCCACCTGGGTATTGCTCTAGGCCCTTTAGCTAAACTGCTTTCTCCGGATGGGTTGATTCTGCTGGATTGGAGGGTTTAACTGATGTGGAGAGTATTGCCTCCAAGGGGACAGCCTGAAGTGACTTCTGGGTTGGTGTTTAGGTGACGGGATGAGTCTGGGACCCAGACTTTGAACAAGATGCGTCTATCTCAGTTGTACCCGTACGTTGCTCTCACCAAGAAAACTAACCGCCTACTTTATTAACCAGATGACGGTGAAGAAGACATTCAACCCCTATGAATCGCACTCCCTTCACCTGTAAATTGGGGTTTTATATCTCCACTCATTTCACAAGGTTATTATACTTTGCATATAAATAATAGGTGATATATTGTTCAGAATGAGCTGAAACTAATCTCATTGCTGCTACTAGATAGCAATTTGGAAAATACGCCAAAAACCATGAAATGTGCGAACTCCTTTGACCCAGTAAATTGGTTCCTGATAATTTTTTCTTATGAAAAAATTAAGAAAAACCATGTGGAAATAAAAGTGCATTGTAGCATTTTCTAGAAAAGAAAATATTGAAAATGATAATAGAACAGTTAAAAAAAAGAAAGATGGTGCTTTAACACAATGAAACCTTAACCAGCCACTGTGTAAACTGTATGCACTAGGAAGTGGTTGAAAGGGAAGATGAAAAAGGAAAACAATTGATGGAGTAGTGGAATTATAAGTATTTTTCCTTTGGTCAGTTTATCTGAATATTTTTACTCTAGCAGAATAGTTAAAATACTGAAAACATTTTAAAACTTGGAAAATGTCTTGGCCCCAGACTACATTTCTTCTTACCGTCTCTTATTTTTTATTTAGGGAAATTATCGTTTCATGAAACTCTTACTTACACGCCGAGCAAACTGGATGCAAAAGGATCTGGAAGAGATGACCCCTTTGCACTTGACCACCCGGCACAAGAGCCCTAAGTGTTTGGCACTTCTGCTGAAGTTTATGGCAGCAGGAGAAGTGGACACACAGGATAAAAACAAGGTAAGGGACTGTCAAGATTGGAGGCAAATGAGAGCAAAACGCAAATGCTGCCTTTTTTTTTTTTTTAAGATTTTATTTATTTATTTGACAGAGAGAGACACAGAGGGAACACAAGCAGGGGGAGTGGGAGAGGGAGAAGCAGGCTCCCCGCTGAGCAGGGAGCCCGACGCGGGGCTTGATCCCGGGACCCTGGGATCATGACCTGAGCCGAAGGCAGACGCTTAACGACTGAGCCACCCAGGCGCCCTGCAAATGCTTCTTTTTATGATGTGAAACCTCAAGAAGAATTATCACTCATCACTTGGGACATTTCCTTGTCTTCATACTCCCCAGTGAAATATTTCCTTAAATTCAGTCCTTTAAATCTCCTACCAACCACGTGTGGTAGGTAGTATCATCTCCTTTTCACTGATGGGAAAACTGAAACTCGGGAGGATTAAATTCTGTTCAAGATCCAAGTGGCAGGACCAGAATTCAACCCAGGCCTATGCCCAGACCCCAGTATTTGATAGCTAATAGCGATAGTCACCATTGGTGCTAGACTTGCGGTGGCCAAATGCCTGGGCAACATAGGAGGCGCATAGTGGTTTAAAGGCCTGGGCTTTAGCATCAGACTGCTTGGGTTTCAGTCTAGAAGCCACTACTTAACTCTTTCTGCGGCTTTGGGCAAATTTTCTTAACTCCTCTACGCTTCCATTTTCTCATATGTGAAAAGGGAATGATAGGGTTGTTGAAGATAGCACATATAAATACGGTTTAACACAGTGCCCAGTGCATAGTATGCTCTCAGGAAACATTAGCTATAAAATGAATATTATTCATTTCATTTTGGCTCTAACATCTGCTCTGGCATTTGTTGCTGGCGTCTGTGATCTTCCCAGCTCTTGACTTTTACCATCTTGTGCAAGCCGGTCACTGTTTCAATCAACGCTTTCATCGTTCTTTACAGGAAAAGAATGTGCTATTCAGTTAGACAAGTACAAAAATCCTCTCCCTTTCCACCAGGCTCCAAACCATGGAGTCTTGCTAACTCCAACACTCCCACGTAATTAAAACTCTTGGGATTAAACCCGCTGCGTTCACGTCCAGTGATCCCTTTATTCTCACGGGTTCTTCGTGTCGTTTTCAGGTTTTGTTTAGCTGTTACTCACAGAACCCAGTGTTCTGAAATTAACTTTGACTTTATTTTACAACGACTATAAACTAATATTATTCCTTACTCACAGCATTTGTAGTGCTAATATTTCACTGAAAAAGCACTTTGATCAATTCACAAAGACCATTAATCACTTGCAAAGCCCCAGATGTCTTTAGGCTCTATAATGTCTTCCCCAGTGTCTTCTAGGAACTCCCTGCTATCTTCCAGTACTTGTGTATTCTTCTGTTACGGAACACGGATGGGAGGTTATCCAGTCAGACAGATGGAAAACAGATCTGCAAGGTCAAGGAAGGAAGGAAGGAAGGAAAGAAAGAAAAAAAATGTGGCTATAGGAAATTATTGCTATTATATTTGTGACTGTTTTTGTTCTGTAGTCATTACTAAATCAAGAGTAATGAGTGACTCTTCATATTAAATGCCTGTAGGTACACTTGCCCTGAATACCACATATGTCAACATTTAAAGTTTTTTAGGTAGCAAGTGAGCTTGGTTCCTCCTGTTAAATGATCTGATTCTAGATTGAATTGATGACACTGCTATTTATAAGGGATAATGTACAGTGCAACCATTTCTGTGTTCCCTCAGTAACTCTTCTAATAGGGAGATCAGTCTTACTGTGGTTTATTGATGAGAACGGCAGGGGGGATTTTAAAGCAATGCCAACAAGTTCAAAATGTTCTTTTTTTTTTAGTACATTTTATTTATGACATTTTATTTTATTTTTTTATAAAGATTTTTATTTATTTATTTGGCAGAGAGAGACACAGCGAGAGAGGGAACACAAGCAGGGGGAGTGGGAGAGGGAGAAGCAGGCTTCCCGCCGAGCAGGGAGCCTGATGCGGGGCTCGATCCCAGGGCCCCAGGACCATGACCCGAGCCGAAGGCAGCCGCCTAACGACTGAGCCACCCAGGCGCCCTATTTTATTTATTTTTTAAGTAAGCTCCACACCCCACGTGGGCTCGAACTCATGACCCTGAGATTAAGAGTTGGATGCTCTTCCAACTGAGCCAGCCAGGTACCCCATCAAGATGTTCCTTTTTAACTTTTACCTAAAATAAAGCAAGTATTGCTGTATCCTCAACATGTATCTTAACATCAGTAGTAGGTATAAGAATTTATCCTGTAAAATTATAGTTAAATTTAAATTTGTACTTTGGTGTAAGAAATGGATTCCAGATCCGTGATTTCCTGCGCATGGATCTTCTTTTTGATAGATACCGAAATTCAAAACATTCCATCAAATCCTTAAGGTACTTGGTGCAATATCAAGGTCATCACTTTATTGATAATTATTCATAAACTACTGGGATGCTATTCTTTTTCTCAGTATTACTAATCTCACTGATTAGTACCTGATGACCTACGTGCCTATCATGAATAAGAGGTCAGATTCTGGACTCAGACTGCCTGGGTTAAAATCTCAATTGGACTGCTAACTACCTTTATGTCCCTGAGCAGATTGCTCGTCCTCCTTGTGCTCCATTTTCTCATCAATCACATGCAAAGTCAGAGGACTTATCTCCCAGGGTTGTCATAATGACTATCTGAGGTAAAATATATAAAGCTCTTACAACGGTGCCTGTCACACAATAAAAGCTTGGGGAAAGTTTGTTGTGTTGTTACTGTTTCTCTTGTTACTGTTGTTTTTTTGAGACTCTGAATTTTGCAGCAAACAGCTCTGCACTGGAGTGCCTACTACAATAACCCTGAGCACGTAAAGCTGCTTATCAAGCATGACTCCAACATTGGGATTCCTGACGTCGAAGGCAAGATCCCACTTCACTGGGCAGCCAACCACAAGGACCCAAGTGCTGTTCATACAGTACGATGCATTCTGGTGAGTACAATGGTGCTGCTAACCTTTCCAAAAAACAATTTTTTATTATGAGATAGCCAGTACACAAAAGCAGATCTAAGACACACAAATAAATTATGAAGCAAAAGAAATACAGCACATGGAAACCCATCACTCAATAAATAGAGCATTTTAGTGCTGCTATTTAAGACCACACAGAATTTCCTATGTACCAATTTCTTTTCTTTTCTTTTCTTTTTAAGATTTATTTATTTATTTGCGAGAGAGAGAGAGTGGGGGTGGGGGTGAGCAGAGGGTGAGGGAGAGAGTGTCCCAAGCCGACTCCATGCTGAGCGCAGAGCCGGACTGGTGTGCTCAATCTCACAACCCTGAGATCACGATCTGAGATGAAACCAGGAGTCAGAGACTACTGACTGCACCACCCAGGCACCCCTCCCTATGTGCCAGTTTCCAAATACATTCTCTCCCCCTGTGCCTTGCTTGCCCTGTCCCCCTTCACCTACTTTCCTGAATTTGTGTTTATCATCCCCTGACTTTGTTTTATACTTGTGCTTATTAAATACTGCATAGAGATAACATTTGTAAAATACTGGTAAGATATAAAGAATATGGAAACCACAAATACTCATGTACTCATCTCTGAGTTTATCTTTTTTTTTTTTTTTTTGACAAAGAGCACGCGAGCAGGGGTCAGGGAGGGGGCAGAGGAAGAGAAAGAATCTTAAGCAGGCTCCACACCCAGCATGGAGCCTGACACAGGGCTCGATCTCAAGACCCTAAGTTCATGACCTGAGCCGAAATCGAGAATCCCACGTTTAACTCACTGAGCCACCCAGGCGCCCCTCACGTCTGAGTTTAAAAATGAGTATGTTACCGTTACCTTTGAAGCTCCCTAGGTACCGCTCAGCAACACTCTATTCTCCCCTTTCTGAGAAGCAGCCACTCTCCTCAATTTCATGTTTATCATTCCTGATTTTCATTATATTTTACCACATATATTTATATTCGTAAACAATATATTATTTCGTTTTTAATGTTTTTGAATTTTGTGTACATGGAATCACATTGAATGTCTTCTTTTGCAACATGTTTTTCTTGTTCAATATTATGCTAGTGATTTTATCTATGCTGTGTATAACTGTAATATATTATTTTTTACTGTTATATAGTATTTCCATTTTATGAACAAGCCATGCATTATTCAGTTATTCATAAACATTTGGAACTATTTCTAGTTTTTCGCTATTTAAAAATAGTGCGGCTTGGGGCGCCTGGGTGGTTCAGATGGTTAAGCGTCTGCCTTTGGCTCAGGTCATGATCCCGGAGTCCTGGGATGGAGCCCTGCTCAGCGGGGAGCCTGCTTCTCCCTCTCCCTCTGCCTCTCCCCCTGCTCATGCTCTCTCTCTCTCTGTATCTCTGTGTTTCAAATGAATAAATAAAATCTTTAAAAAAAATAGTGCTGCTTTGGGGCGCCTAGGTGGCTCAGGGGGTTAAGTGTTGGACTCTTGATTTTGGCTCAGGTTATAATCTCAGGGTAGTGAGATTGAGCCCCTGGAGGGGCTCTGCAATCAGCGGGGAGCCTGCTTGAAGATTCTCTCCCTCTGCCCCTCCCCCCACTAGCACTCACTCTGTCTTTCTCTCTCTCTCAAATAAATAAATAAATAAATCTTTTTAAAAAAATAGTGCTGCTTTGAACTTTTTTTTTTTCTAAGTAATCTCTACAGCCAGCATGGGCTCTACTGACTGAGCTAGCCATGTGCCCCTGAACTTTTTTTTTTAGCATGTCTAGGATATATATTTAACTGCTTGTTGCAGGTACATAGAAAGGCAGTTGATATTTTTATTCATTGAAAATGCATCAACGGGCGCCTGGGTGGCTCAGTCATTGGGCGTCTGCCTTCGGCTCAGGTCATGATCTCAGGGTCCTGGGATCGAGCCCCGCATCGGGCTCCCTGATCGGTGGGGAGCCTGCTTCTCCCTCCCCCACTCCCCCTGCTTGTGGTCCCTCTCTCGCTGTGTCTCTCTCTGTCAAATAAATAAATCTTTAAAAAAAAAAAAGAAAATGCATCAAAAACAAAACAAAACAAAAATGCATCTAACCAACTTGCTATACTTTCTTATTAATTTTGAATATTTATCAGTGGATTCTTTGAGGTTTCTAATCACTCCTCAAATTCCAACTTACAAGCTATGGTAGTCTGATATTTAGTTCTATTTGCTTATAACACAGGAATTAGATTTTAGATAAAATTTAGATAAAATTATTTTGTATATGCAATAGTTATTTCTCAACTCTTTCGGGCTATTATTTTGCTTCTTTCTGCCTTTCATTGTTCCTCTGGAGGAGTCTGTTATTGGTCTAATTGTCATTAATTTTTAGATGATCTAACTTTTCTCTCAGGCTGCTTTTAAATTCTTCTCTGTGTGGCATCCTGCAGTCTCACTACAGTGCGTCTAGGGATGGTGCTTTTTTAAAAATTTTTTTGGTCCTATTTGGTGTATACTCTTATTGCATATCAGTTCTGGAAAATATATAGCTATTATCTCTTTAAATATTATCTCTCTTTCATTCTCTATATTCTTGCCTTTAAGGTCCCAGTTATACATATTTTAGACCTTTTCATTTTATTATCCGTGTCTCCTCTCTTCTACATTCCATCGTCTCATCTCTCTTGCTGTGTTCTGGGTAATAACAGATGTGCTTTCCTATAGACCAAGACTTCCCTCCACTGAGTCCACTCTCTTGTTTGCCCTCTTCATTGAACCTCTAATCCTAGGGATTATATTTTTACATCTAAAAGTTCTTTTGGGGGGCACCTGGGAGGTTCAGTCAGTTAAGCGTCTGCCTTTGGCTCAGGTCATGATCCCAGGGTCCTAGGATCGAGCTCCGCATCGGGCTCCCTGCTCAGTGGGGAGCCTGCTTCTCCTTCTGCCTGCCACTCTCCCTGCTTATGCTCTCTCTCTCTCTCTCTCTGTGTCAAATAAATAAAATCTTTTAAGAAAATAAAAGTTCTTTTTGTTTTGTTTTGTTTTGTTTTCATGTCTGCTGGGTCTTCTTGATAGTTTTTGTTCCTTGAATCACTTTTTGTTTCATTTTTTATTTTCTTACATGCTTTATAGATAGTTATTTTATATTCTTTATCTGTCAGTTCCATTATCTGAAGTCTTTAGAGGATACTTGTCACTCATAATATCTTATTTCCTCATAGATTTGGCTTTTTTTTTTTCCCCTTGTAAACACATCTTAGTCCTTGGGAGACTCAAAGGCCTAAAATACCACTGTGGTAAAATTCTACTTCTCTTTTTTGAAGTGTTTATAATACCTTTCATGCACTTGTTTTATAAAATAGGATGGCTGTACAGGCAGCTTAAATCTGGGGTGGCTCTTTGGAGAGTTCTCAAATTGGGGCAGGAGGTCTTGGCTTTTGGGTATGACCTGATCTGGGAAGGAATACGACCTTGCATGAGGCAACTCTTCAGCTGAAGCAATCACAGAAGTCTGACTGTTGAGGGTCATCTACCGGCAGCACTCACAGCAGCTAGGGAAATAAGTCCTTTATTCTTTTTTTTTTTTTTTTTTAAATTTTTATTTATTTATTTGACAGAGAGAGAGACAGCGAGAGAGGGAACACAAGCAGAGAAGTGGGAGAGGGAGAAGCAGGCTTCCCGCTGAGCAGGGAGCCCGATGCGGGGCTCGATCCCAGGACCCTGGGATCACGACCTGAGCCGAAGGCAGACGCTTAACGACTGAGCCACCCAGGCGCCTTAAGTCCTTTATTCTTGAAAGGGGACCTAAGCAGTGGATACAAAGACCTCATAGAAAAATGAGTAAATGTGAACTGTCAATTTAAACAGAATAGCCAATAAACATATGATGAATCCCAACCTCATTCATAAAATAAATACAAATTAAAACGTCAGAAAATGCTTTCCACACCTATATGGGAAAAAATGTAGTAAGCTTGATAATACCAAGAGGTGAATTTGTGCCAGCATGTGGGGAAATAAAAACTTTTACACATTGTCATGGATGTGTTAATTAGTGTAACCATTTGGAGAGCAGTCTAATACCTAGTTGAAAATGTAAATATCCTTCTACTCAGCAATTCCCCTGCTAGGTGTCTGGGCTAGAGAAAAATCTCATACATGGGCTACAGGGAGACCTGTAATGGAAGCATGTTCATGCAGCATTATTGTTAATAATGGGAAAAATGTAAATAACCTAACTGTCCCTCAGTAGGAGAATGGATAACTAAATTGTGGTTTAACAAATGAACTAGTATCAACATAAATACCCAAAAGTATAGTGTTGAAAGAAAAAATTGCCAAAGGATATGCATAGTATAAACTCAAAGGTGTAAATATTGAAAACATACATACATAATTTATGTACTGTTTGTGGATGCACACATATGTAACAGAAGTACAAAACATACAGCTTTAGCTGAATCCATTGTAGATACAAAAGCACATTAGGCAAAATACTGACACCTATTCAGTCTGGATAATCAGTATTAGTATTTATTGTATCTTTTCTGCATTTTTTAGAGTTAAACGTGACAAAGTTTTAAAGACTTAGAATGTGTAATTTTTTCTGAATTTACCACTTTGTGCTAAGAATATACAGGTTTAGAAAATTGCTCAGTTAATGCGTTTGTCCAGTGTGATTTACTGAGGATTCCATGTGTATCTGAAGTCTCTGGTTCCTTAAAAATAGGATGCTGCTCCCACGGAGTCTTTACTGAACTGGCAAGACTACGAGGGTCGGACACCTCTTCACTTTGCAGTCGCCGATGGGAATGTGACAGTGGTTGATGTCTTGACCTCATACGAAAGCTGCAATATAACATCTTACGATAACTTATTTCGAACCCCGCTGCACTGGGCAGCCTTACTAGGTGAGATAACTGTGAATCAAAGGATCAGCGGTAGGAGGAACTACATGAATACCAGAAACTTTCCATGGCTTCCCTTCCCCTGTCAGCATCCACCTCCCATTTAATTATTTTAATTTTTTTTAATTTTAATTTTTTTATTTTTTATTAACATATAATGTATTATTTGTTTCAGGGGTACAGGTCTGTGATTCATCAGTCCTACACAATTCACAGTGCTCACCATAGCACATACCCTCCCCAGTGTCCATCACCCAGCCACCCCATCCCTTCCACCCCCCTCCACTCCAGCAACCCTCAGTTTGTTTCCTGAGATGAAGAGTCTCTTATGGTTTGTCTCCCTCTCTGGTTTCATCTTGTTTCATTTTTCCCTCCCTTCCCCTATGATCCTCTGCCTTGTTTCTCAAAATACTCATATCAGTGAGATCATATGATACTTATCTTTCTCTGATTGACATATTTCGTTTAATTTTTAATTGATATGCGGCATCTCATACTAAAATCCCTCTGTTGTACGCTTAAATTTTAGTAATATAATATATTCTCTGTTATATATTGGTTTTAATTTCAACATAATGTCTTAACATGTTTTAATTTTTATTTTAAAAGTAATGCACATTCATCAACAAATGTAAATATAAAATAATCTTTTCACATTCAGTGCCTGTGTGTTTTGGGAGGGGACTTTAATTTTATGTCTGTGCCAATACTCTGATATGTGATTTTTTTTTCTTCATATTTTCCTGATAAGCCTCTTACTTAACCTTTTTGGGGACCACTCTGTTAGATGAGAGAGTGTAAATACGTTTATGTGTCTGATTTTTCAGGGGATGCAATCTGAGAGACTTTCTCTTTTAGTGAAGGAGGTTTACCCATTAATAGTCACTGTTATAAGATCTAATTTGGTCTTTTTTCTGCTATTCTGCTCTTTGAGTATTATTGGTGTTTTGGTTTTTTTCTTATTTTGGGTTTTTTTTTTTTCCCCCGTTTCCTTAATGTTTTCTGCCTTTTGGTATATAGATTAGGTTTGTTGTTATTTGGTTTTGAATTGCCTAATGTTTTAGGAGGGTTTTTAGGTTCTGCTAGTGGTTACTTTTAAATTTATCAAAAATGTTTTAAAACATGAGTCAGAGTTAAGAGCAAAACTACATCTATTGATTTCCACTTAGCATACTTATCACTTTTTTAGTATTTGTTAATATAATCTGAAGTTTTTCCCAATTATTATTATGGACTTTGTTTTTAAATTACACATTGTGGGCGCCTGGGTGGCTCAGTTGGTTAAGCAACTGCCTTCGGCTCAGGTCATGATCCTGGAGTCCCTGGATTGAGTCCCGCATCGGGCTCCCTGCTCGGCAGGGAGTCTGCTTCTCCCTCTGACCCTCCTGACCCTCCCCCCTCTCATGCTCTCTCTCTCTCAGTCTCTCTCTCAAATAAATAAAATCTTTAAAATAAATAAATAAATAAATAAATTACACATTGTATCTTTCTAAAATACTTTTTGCATTTACATTCAGTTTTATTGTCAGATTTATAATTATTATTTAGATCTCATTTCAGTGTTCAGTTTCATCCCTTTTTCCTTTTCCTCCGCATCCTGGGAGGACTTCACAAGTTTGTCTCCATATCAGTACATTGACTTTTTGTTCCGTAAGTTCTGCTTTCTTTCTGCCTCTCATCGATTGTATTTTAGGTTGTATTTTGATTTCCTTCTCTCATCCAAATTTCTTTGTATCTTGACTTATTTCCTGTTCACCTCCTTCCATCACCTTTTCATTTCAGATTATGTCCTTCTTAGGATATTCTGTTTCATTTCATAGAGGCCATCTCTTTGCACAAGTCAAGGATGCCAGACAGTTTCCTGAAATTTTCCTCTGGATCCTTCTCTAGATCATTTTCTGAGGTATGCGCTTCATCTTTGTGGTGGTGTTCCTTTTTCCTTGTCCCATGGTATGTTTTCATATTGCCCTTACTGAATTTTCCTCATTATCTTTCCAACAAGATGGCATGTGTCTCAGTAGCTTGCCTGTGATCCTACTTTTCGCCTGTCTCCAGGAACTCCAGCTCGGATCATATGTGGGAGCGGGTAGATGAGCACAACTCCCACTCAGATTCCCTTTTTCTGCCCGGTTTTCATGCAGTGTGTCCTTGTTCTGCTGATGTGGCATCCTCATTGCCCAGGTCCCCACTATGCTGAGGCAATAGAATGCCTGAAATTCAGATTTCCCAAATCTGCTATTACTGGGTTTGTTCCTTCTTTGATCCTTCCTAGAGCTCCTCGCTTGCGGAAACCATGCCCTCTCGGATGCGCTGCATATTTCCTCTGCCACCGCCTCATCGTTCCTGCCACGTGTTTCCTTGGACTTGAAATCACTGCCCAGAAGTGAAAAAAGTGGGGGAGGGAGGGCAGAGGGGATTGAGAGGAGGCCGCAGAGGTCACAAGAGGATGTAACCGAGTTTGTCCTCCTGAATAGCAGAGGGCAACAGCGGTTCCACACAGCACAGCCTGGAGACTGGGGACCATGATGGCTGTCGGAGGCTGGCTTCCCACCTGTGTCATAAAGTGAAGCCAGGGAAGGCACTGAGCTGATACCTGATACAGCTTTTTCTCACTCTAGCAATTATAATGACTGTCATTTCCTTTCTGATTGAAGCATTAAGATTTTAGTGTCGTAAGTGTTGCCTTTGTTCTACCTTAGCATAGTATTTTAGTGAGAAGTTAGAAGAGGCTGTCCTGGGGGCTGCTATTCAGAAAACTTCCCTTTAAATAGATTATAAATTAAGTGGTCCTTTGATGTGCTCACTGCCTTGTTGTGTCCGCTTTCAGGCCATGCACAGATCGTCTATCTCCTTTTAGAAAGAAATAAGTCTGGAACCATCCCATCCGACAGCCAAGGAGCAACACCCTTGCACTATGCAGCTCAGAGTAACTTTGCTGTAAGTAAAACATGACAGTTCTCTTTTTTTCTTGGTTAAATTGTTATTTTGACATAGTTATAAATTCATATGCAGTCGCAAGAAATAAAAGAGCAAGATCCCATGTTCCCGTCACCTGGTTTACCCCAATGAGAACATCTTGCAAAAGTATGAAACAATATCATAAACAGGAAATTGGCATTCCTACAATCCACTGATCTTATCCAAATTTCAGTTTTACACGTACTCATTTCTGCGTTTGTGTCGCAATTATATTTTAACAGTTGCTCATACTGTTAACTCTGGCCGTGATGCGAGGGATAGTCTTCGTCTTTGTAAAGTTGTTAGTCATGGGAAATTTTAAGACCATTTTTACATTAACTGTTCAGTGTAACATTTTGTTCTGTGTAAGTACATTTCCTCTTCTGGTTAATTTTATGGCACTAAGGTTTTATATGCACTGCGTTCAGCCATTGTAATTGTCCTGAAAGCAATATGCAAAGGCTTAGAATGGGTCCAACCTTGCCTGGGACCCTGACTCCACTCTCTGCTGGCTGGATGACCTGGCACAAGGTTCTTTAGCTCTTGAGTCTTAGTTTCTTCATATGTAAAATGAGGATAATTATACCTTTTCCTTCAGGATTGTTGTAAGAATTAGAGAAAATTTGTGACCAGTGCCTAGTGTAGTTCTTGGTACAGAGCAGGTACGCAAGAAATGCCACGCATTCTTACTATTGCTAATGCTAATAATTTTAGGAATTATACAGCTGAGAAAACAAAAATATGAATTATTATTTCCAAAGATATTGAATATTATGGCTAATTTTTCCCTTAGCACCCTTTGTGGTTTACAGAGCATTTTCTCATCCATTGTGTCACTCAGTCTAGATGGTAACGGCTAGGCTGCTTCAGCTCTCTGAGGAAGCGGCCACCAAGAACTAGAGACTCATCCAAAGAGGCACACGTCAAAGCAGTCAGAGTTGATTTTACTGCCTTCTACATGGGTGTGTGTAGTAAAAATCTTGGTTTCATTAAATTATAAGAATGCTATCATCAGCAGAGCGTAATTCCATCTTCCTGACCTCCCCAATGCATCACTGAATACATTGAAGCAATCTGAGAAGATTGCTAAAATATCTTATTTTCCCACCTTTCTTTCTCTCTAGTACCCAGAGCAACTATAACTATGGTCCTTCCTTCTTGGCATTTCTAAAACTTTATCACCTAGACTTTTGGTAAGCCATTCTCTTCTACAATCTCCCATCGTTCTATTATCTCAGACCCGTTCTTGCTCCAGATAGATAAGAAATTCACTGGCCCAGCCTAATCAACCTGTGGAAATCAGAATTCAATTCATACTTCAATACAAGCCTGTGAGAGGACATGGTATCCCTAATCTACAGAGGAAGAAACCAAGGTTTCAAGAGATTAAATGACTTGCCCAAGATCTTGAACTCAAGTCTTAGACTCCAAATTTAACACGTGCACAGATACTAACAATTAAGTGACTAAGGCTATTGGGAGTAAGAAGGAATGGCAGAACATTATGGATGCTTATTCAAAGAAATACTTGCTCTGGATAATCTGCCGATTACAGAGATGATTTTTCAATAGTTCTGCAAATCTTCTAAGCTCAGTTTCAAGCCCCTTGATCTTCTTGGACTCTGTTCACTCACAAGAGGCTGTAATTCCCTGTTTAGAAAATAGCAACAACAAGACCCACAAAACCTCTGCAAACATTCATCATTAAGAAAACATACCCAACAAAGAAATGTTTGCAAATTAGTAAAAAGAAAACAAACCAAAACATTACCAACATTTTTTAATATAAACTGTTATTTATTAAATTATGATAACGTTTCTATCATAATCAACAAGTACAATGTAGTGGATACTATTAGTTATCAACTTTTAAAATCCATTTGCTTATTCCAATCTAGCATGTACTAGGCATACACCCTAGATCCCAGGAACACGACCCTATAATGCCTCAGCAGCTCAACAATGACTTTTAAGACTAGGAAGCAATGTGTGCAGTGGAAAAAGTGCTATGATTGAGCTCTGGGTTCTACTCCTATATCTGCCACCAATGTTTGTATGACCTTGAACCTAAATTTCTTCATCTGGAAAATGAAGGGTTGCGTTAGGTGAGTCCTCGAATTTCTTCTTGCTTTAGAGTATTGAGCATCAACACTTTATACATTTTTGGCCAGCTCACAGCCTCCAGAATTTTTCTTTTTCTGAAACTGTTTTACTTCCATTCAAGTAGAAGTTACCATGATCTCCCTAAAAGTTTGTAAGCATCTGAGGCTCAAAGAAGGAAACAATTTAAAATGCTGTGAAGGGGCGCCTGGGTGGCTCAGTCGGTTAAGCGGCTGCCTTCGGCTCAGGTCATGATCCCAGGGTCCTGGGATCGAGTCCCACATCGGGCTCCTTCCTCAGCGGGGAGCCTGCTTCTCCCTCTCCCTCTGCCTGCCACTCCACCTGCTTGTGCTCTCTCTCTCTAATAAATAAATAAAAATCTTTAAAAAAAAAATAAATAAATAAATAAAAAATAAATAAAATGCTGTGAATATTAGCTCCCGTTAAAATTGTTAGGCACTGTTATCAACAATAGCCAAATTATGGAAAGAGCCCAAGTGTCTATCGACTGATGAATGGATAAAGAAGATGTGGCATATATGTGACGGAATATTACTCAGCCATAAAAAAGAATGATATCTTGCCACTTGCAACGACATGGATGGAGCTAGAGAGTATAATGCTAAGTGAAATAAGTCAGTCGGAGAAAGACAAATACCGTATGATTTCACTCATATGTAGAATTTAAGAAACAAAACAGATGAACATGGGGGGAAAAAGAGAGAGAGGCAAACCATAAAACAGACTCTTAACATAGAGAATAAACTGAGGGGTACCAGAGGAGAGGTGGGGGGAAGGATGGACTAAATGAGTGATGGGCATTAAGGAGGGCACTTGTTATGATGAGCACCAGGTGTTGCATATAAATGATGAATCACTAAAGTCTACTGAAACTAATATTATACTCTACGTTAAGTAACTGGAATGTAAATAAAAACTTGAAACTAAAAAAAAATAATAAAATAAAAAAATAAAATTGTCAGGCACTATTAGAATTATTGTGGGGTCCTAATTTTTGTGTGAATTCATAGAGGAAGGACCTTGCATATAGGAATTGCTAAATAAATATTTGTTTAAATGAATTGAACTCTGTATTTCTCAGTAGCCACACATCATTATTAACAATAATGCAATAAATGCATTAAATAAATAATTAAATTTATAATAATGTAATAAATGCATTAAATATTTTTTAAATAATAGTAACAAAACCACAACAAGAGAATGTATTAACCTCTTCTATAGGTATGGCTGAGTATTCAGGTCCCTGCATGTAAAATGTCCAAGAAAACCTAAATTTTAATGTTGCTCATGACACCGAATACTTGTTAGTTTTTTAACTGTCCCTTCATCTATCAAAGAGTGACCTATACAATTTTAAAACTTGGTTGAGGATGATCATTCTCAATTATGAGGATGTTGAATGAGGGAGTTAGGTTATGTGTTTGAAGTGCATGGAAACTAAAACTAATATATAAAGAAAGAGGATTGTTACTTTCAGTGGAAATTGTAGTTTCGTTAGTCATAAAAAGATAATTTCATTTGATTCAAAATCAGGGGAAAAATACTTTGTGTCTTAGCGGAAGTCACATATAACACTGGCTTTATTACCATAGAAAACGCTACCCTCTTGTCTCAATTTTTTTTTAATGAAGTTTTCTTACAGGAAACAGTTAAAGTATTTTTAAAACATCCTTCAGTGAAAGATGATTCAGACCTCGAAGGAAGAACATCCTTTATGTGGGCTGCTGGAAAAGGCAGTGATGATGTCCTTAGGACTATGCTCAGTTTAAAATCTGACATTGATATTAACATGGCAGACAAGTATGGAGGTACAGGTAAGAAGTGGCAGACGTGCTGGGTTTGCTTTCTTTCGGGTTCCAAAGTGTATGGGTGCCCTCAAACTTGTACAGTAGTGCCTGAAATCATTGTTCCTAATCTAATATTGTTTAACTTTCATTTGTACTTTTTAAGGTTAGGCTACCAAGATATCACTCCAAAGTCTTTATTTCCTCCAGGTTTGATGGCTAAAATTAGTCTGTGTTTCCACCAGGTGAATGGGGGCATTTGGTTTAAAACTCTGGTTGCTCCTGGTTGTTATACGCAACTGATGAATCGCTAAACTCTACCTTTGAAAATAATAATATGCCATATGCTAATTAATTGATTTTATTTTTTTTTTTAAAGATTTTTATTTATTTATTTGAGACAGAGAGAATGAGAGAC